GGAGAGTTCAAAAGCTTAGTTGATATATCAGAATTTTAAATTAAAGGATGTATATATTTAGAATTACATCAGCAGTAATGGTTTATTTGGAAAATTAACAGCCATTTTTCATAGCACCTTTGGAACATAGTTGGGTGAAACTGTAGGTATCTACCTATGCATTCATGAGGAAGTGTCATGTAGTTGAGTGACTGGCCACAGTAATTACTCTAACTCCACCAGGCAGTGTTGAGGAGGATGCCTGGAGACTTGCAGTGGGTAAAACTTATTGGCAATAAATGCCCAATGCCTAAAACAGCCTTTAGGATAGTGTCAGAAGCACTGGGTACGGACTGGGGTCTCCAGACTTGCAGATGCAGCCTCAGGACCCTGTGGTGTGGTTGAGTACTGTGATTCTGGCAGGTGGCAGGTACAGTTCAAGGGAGCCATCCTTCTCCAGCAGGATTCCCTACAAAGTAAGTGAGAGGGCATCGGTGCGGAGCCCTGCCACAGGAAGGGAACAGGTAAGACCTTGGCAGGATACTAAATTTATGATAGAGCTTGTTGAGGGCTAATGGAAAGGGAACATAGTTAAGGGGACAGAGCAGCCACTCAGTACAGGGTATCTGATTGGCAGTAGAGACAATGGAAATGACATAAGAATGCCTGCAGTCTGGCTTTCCATACTGGAAGTCTTGATGAATCTGGAGTCCATCTGGGGTGGAGGGGAAGAACCAGTGCACAGTGCTGCAATGGATGACAAGGGTAGCTATGAACCCAAATTTGTTTTCCTGCTAGGATATCCACTCCATAGAATATTGTTAACTGTCTTAAATGTCTTTTTCTTATATTTTTCTTTATATTTTTCTTATGTATTTCCTAATGTGTGGTAAACTCAAGCAGGTCCTACAATAGTTAACAGCCAAAAAAAAATGCATTAGTTGATTTTTAAGTGTAGAATATATACCCTAAAAAAATAGATCTAACAATTTAGTTTCACAGTAGCATGTACAACATTGGCATGGCTGGGAGAGCGCCTGTATTCTCCCCTCCTTGTGTAAGCAATGTGTGTAACAAAATGTCAGATACACCGGTTGGAATCAATACCACAGCTTTCCACTATCTGGGAGACTCGATTCTTGGCCCAAATCTAGGATTTCCTGAATTACATTTAATAATATAAAGTTTAAAAAATGTTTTTGTTATAAGTGGCAATAAGTAGTGCTTAGTAGAGTTTATTCTATTCAGTATCTATTTTTTTCTTTTGTACAGTAAGAAAGAGAAAATAGTCTTATTGGTTTCTCATACAGATTGTAGAATAAGGTTAATAGTTCATGGGGTTAGTTTCTTCTATGTCAACACTATAGGCCCCAAGCGTGCATAGCTTTATTGAAGCACTATATGCAATACATTTATTCAGAGATCATTAATTAAGAATTTACAGGTGCTCAGCTCTGTACAACATATTATAGGAAGAATTTTTAAAATACAGCGTTCCTGTAAATTGGCCACGAGAGCATAAGATATGCCAAAATGCTCTAAAAAATGATTATGAATGACATATAAGCAAAACGTGGGTCTCCCCTGCCCCCCAGCAATGGGAATATATTTCTTCTCAGGTTCTCATGTTCCCTCTTTCTGGTCTCTGTCTAACCAAAGGCATGAATTTCAGGTCATCCTAAGTGAAGATTTGGGTTTACTCTGTGACCATGTTATCAGTGATACCAGCTAATTCACATGGAGATTTGTACTATATGTAATTTATATGGAGATCTGTCATATAAACTGAGCCCAGTTAACCTAATACTCCAACTATATTCACTCTAAACCATCCAGGGTTTATCCCATCCAGCATTCTGTCACTGATAACACCAGCTGTGTCCAAATACCCGCTATTTCAGGAAACCAGGGAACAGCCACCTTTTTTCATATTCTGAGCAATCCCTTATTTACCCATCTCACATCCTATTAGACAAGGATCACCCCTATCGAGCTTAAGATTTCAGTAAACTTGTCAGTTAACTTTGTTTTATAATTCTGAATTAATAATGCCCCCTTAATAGGTTAGGGGAAAAGCATCAAAGATTACCATTGGATTCAGATGCCTGGAAGGAGCTAGGATGGTGCATGACTTCCTGCCCCACTCATTCTATACAAATACTGGTAATTTACTACAAGTACAGACAATTTTACAAAGATTAGATTTTTTATAGTAATATTTTGAGAGAAATTGTTTTCTGCCTTTTGTAAATTTGATCATCAGGTCTTGTCACTCATCAGCAAAAGAAAAAATATATATTTCAAAAACACGGAGGACCTATTTTTATCTTATAATGACAATTTTTAAATTATTACATTTCTAACCGTGCCGGGAGCCTCGGTCAACCTGTCATCTTGCCTTTACTTTCCCTCCACTCGCATCAAAAAGAGAGTTATAAGCAGCAAAAATTGATCTTGCTATGGATTTTGCTCGGAGCTGCAACCAGCCAAGGAATTAGTCTACTGTATGTGTCACTGGAGTCATCTGGGGGAAGTCTTACACGAGACGAGAATTACTCTGTGCACCGAGCTCTATGTCAAAGGCCTGACTCAACGAAACTTGCGGGCTGCCTTGATGCGGACAAGTTTGTGAAAGACATCATTATTATTTTTCAAACTACATTGGGTTCTTAGAAATGTACCTTTTTGTTCCCTTAAATGACTTGTTTTCACTTTTTCTTCATCAGAAAACAAAACATTCCTGCTTACGTAAATTCTGTCCTTCAATAATGGATACAGGAGGACAAACTCAACATTTGGAAATCACTTCTAAAGAGACATGGCACTGAACTCAAATGACAAAAGTTGGATTACGTTGTTTAGAAAAAGACCATTGGATATTCTACCTTGGCTTTATGAATATGAGTTTTAATATATCCCAGGTACAATATGTGTCTACATGTATCAGATGAATTTTGATCACAGCCACCAAACTGTTAACCCTGCCAGAACCTTTCTTGGATGGTTTTGAGATAAATCTAAAAGAAATTAAATTACATATGATTTAACAAAAGAGTAAAGAAGTATCATATAAAAATAGTTGAATTTTAAGGATGGAAGAGTGAATATTTTTGGACATTGGGGCAGCCTTTAGCCTCCCATTTTCTTAAGGCTTGAGAGATTTATCCTTGGGTCACAATTCGGTGGAGACTTCGATTGTCCTCTTTTAAAGAATGACCTCCATGCCTTCCACCCTGCCTCAGATGTATTTCTCTGCTATGAATTTATCAACTGGACATTGAATTGAGAAGGGATGGCCTACTTTGCCTGAACAAACCGGCTGTGACCTCTCTACCTGCAGACTTGCCTGAGTTCATGAGCTTTGGTTATTCACACAGGTTAGAGGACTTTCCCAGACAGGGAACCAGCCAGAGCTGTGAAGGGAAAAAGCATCACCATGTTACCAACTTGGGTCCTTGGGCTCTCCAAACAATAAACATTGATTGGGGCCAAGAGGGAATTCCAGGCAAGACTTTTGGTGGGGCTTATGCTCCAGCACAGAGAGACAGCCCAAAGAAAGGGTTCTTCATGCTGGTTTTCTGAACAAAAGCCAGGGAAAGTTTTTAAAGAGGCTAAGGTGGGAAAAGAGTGACATCTAAGCCTGTAGAGGTTGGGAGAGACACAAAGTTGGGTGTACAGGGGCAGTGGACAGAACATGCTTTATCATGCATCGCATGTCTCATTAGCATGTTAAATCTCCACCATTGGGCATGATTTTTAGTATTATAATGAGGGAGAAAGTCAGCAAAAGGTCAGCACTGGGGTGCACTTTGGTGCAGACTGGTTTCATCTGGTCTTCACCAGTCTTGTAGTTGAATCCCCCTTAGGTAAGCATCCTCCTTGCACATTTCTGCAAGGTATGCTACTCAGGGGGCATAGGGTTTCAGCTATAAAGGAACGCTAGGTTTCATGGTCGGGATTGAGAGGACCTGAATCTAGTCCCTGCTGTGTCTCTTGGGCTGAATTATTTTCACTTTTTTTTTTTCCCAGTAGAAACAATCTAACTTCAAGAAGACTTGATGATAATTAACATTATGCAGAGCATTTTATAATTGAAGCATTTCTTTCAGTGTTTAAAAATAAAGAATTAAAAGATAGGTATCAAGTGATTTAAAAAGATATCAAACCATGTGCTTTGATTTCAAAGAATTTAAACAAATACTCATTATTTGATCACGTCCATGGCACATCCCTTCCCTGACACCAAGCTCCTGACTAGACCTAAGTTAATTTCCTGAACTCCCAAGCTTAGAGTCAATACTGATCTTTGGCTCTACCTCCGGCTTCCTTGAGGGCTTTTACTGACCCCTGAGCAAAAATACCTTCAGACCTTAACAGAGGCATTCTCATGCTGTTAATAGCAGGGAGCTGCCTGAGGATTATAATTCTCCCTCTGTTCTTTTGAATGACAGGCCAATTAAAACCATTTGCCTTGGAGGAGATACTGCCAGATTGGAAACAGGAAGCAAGTTCTGGTCCACTTAGATTTTTATATTTGAGCTCTTGATTCCTAGCAAGTCTGTAGTGATCATGAGGATGATGCTGATGACAATTCTTAACAATCTTATCACACTGCCGTGTTTCTTTTATCTCTTATCCCCACCTTAGTAAGTGGCACCACCTTCCCTCACATCCCTCCCACATCAGGAGCAAATGTGATCTAAGAGCCCCTCCCTGTAGACTTGCATCCTGATGATTTCTTCAGACTGTTCTCTCTGCTCCCACTCCCAGGATAGTCACCAGAGCCTGGTCACTTCTTAGAAGTGCTGGTTTCTACCTGACCATCTGCCCCTCCGTGATCTGTCCACGCTGGACCCAGAGGGATCTCTCTAGAACATCAGGCTTACTTCAGTGTCTTCTCTAAATCCAACCATAGAAGGATTCCCCCATGGTTTAAAGGAGAACACGAAGCAGCTTCAGTGTAACTCAAAGCCCTTTAGGACCTGGACCCATTCCTAAGCCTTGAACTTCTCTAGCATTGTTTGCCCTAGCCTCACAGGTGCTTGGAATCAGCACTGTTTATGTTGCTCTGCCCCACAGGTACATCCCACTTATAATTCAGACCCGACTCAGCCACCTTTTCCTTTGCAAAATTTTTTCTGCCCCCAAAGTGAGTGAGATGCCCCTTCTTTGGGCTCTCTATTACCCAGCACACACCTCTGTCCTAGAACTTGGCACAATATACCTTACTTATTAATACGAGTGACTTACACATTCATTAATATTAGACACCTTTAGGCTGTCATCCAACAAGTATTCATCAGTTTTTAATAATGTACAATTTACTCTTCTGTGGTGTCTCTCTCGATCAGATGGGGGGCCCCAAATGTGGGTTGACGGTCGTGTTTGGAAGCTGGTGGCATGGGCCGTAAAAGGATTCACCCTAGGCAGAACAAAGGAGATAGAAGTTTATTGAATGTACTGCAAGGGAGCTGTGGACAGGACAGCAAAGGAGAAAACTGTCTGTAAGGAGGCAGTAGGTGGGGGCTATTTTTAAAGGGGGATGGGGAGGTGGTATGGGGACATTAGGAATTCTTTTTTTTTTTTTTTTTGGTAACTGTGCCTGGTTTTAAGTAGCCCATTGGTTAGTTAGGGCCTATGGATATTTTGAGGTGGGTCACCTGGTGGGCCTGTCTATATTCAGCCAAGGGGTCATGGTGGGCCCTTCCTACATTCCACTGCTCAAGGCTATTTGCCTAAAAGTGGCCTCTACACTCTATACATAAACCTGCCATTATATTATTTCCAGATTTTTTTTTCTTTTCCTATTAGCTTTCATTATAGTTATTTCCTTGCCTTTTGCTGATTTTTCTTTACTTACTTCTATGAACATTATTTTAGAACCAGATTAGATAAAATCCTTTATTAGCTACAGCAACTACTGACTTATTATCAATGATAATGACTGTATCTACTTTGAAAGTTCTTTTTTTTTTAAAGATTTTATTTATTTATTTGAGAGAGAGAGAATGAGAGAGAGCACATGAGAGGGGGGAGGGGCAGAGGGAGAAGCAGACTCCCTGCCGAGCAGGGAGCCCAATGCGGGACTCGATCCTGGGACTCCAGGATCATGACCTGAGCTGAAGGCAGTCGCTTAACCAACTGAGCCACCCAGGCACCCATACTTTGAAAGTTCTTAAAAGGGGTCTCCCAAAGGGTAATGTTGAAACTGATCTGGCGATTGGTATATTTGGCAGATGAATCATAATTTGAAATTGAATGAATGAATTTGTCTTGATGAATTTTGGCCATTAAAAAAATGATTTAGAGTAAGTATTATCTGATTTCAAATGTTGCCTTTTGCACCTTAGGTATGCTTAAAAAAAAGAAAAAACAAGCCCAAATTAGAGTCATTTTCCTCTCATGACAGCAGACTAAGACTTAATTACAATTTTAACCTATCCAAGCAATGTGGCCTTATAAAAGTCAATCTGAAATTTCCAGATCAGCACCCGTGAGGTAATCTGCATGATAAAAACCCTGCCTTTCCCTCCCCCCCCCAAAAGGAGAAGTCCTAGCCTGAAACAATCCTTTCTTTTCTTTTGCTAATAACTTCTCTGCCCCAGGCTCCTTTGTCTAAAATAAACCCTTCTATTTTGTGCATCTACTCCGAGCTGCATTGTACTTGATAGATGGGATGCTGTCAGATTCATGAATCACTTAATAAAGCCAATTAGAAAAAAATAAATAGATCTTCAAATATACTCAAATTTTTTTAACAGGTATATTATTAAAGGATTGGTTCCCTATCACCCTCTCTGCCTTAAAATATAAGTGTTCTCCAGGAAGACGGGTAAACAGCCAGAAAACTTTTCACAGTATACTTTTTCCTTTTTCTACTATCCTAGAGTTCCACCTTAGTTGACTTAGGTTTCTGTCTGAAATTAAAAAAAAAAAAAAAATGAACTTGCTGCCTTCGTTGCTAGCATAAACTAGAAGGTCCTCTGAATAAGTAGGATGAGGGTAGAGTTTCCCCAGAAATTCTGCAGCCAGCATTTCCCATATACTGTCCTCCAAGAGTCTAATAAGCCAAGTGTTGCTGTAGCTATTAGAAGGCCTATGGGCTTGGTTGGTTGCTTTGTGTTATGGCTTGTGGGTCTAAACGCAGTGCTAACCTGGATCTTTCTGGCTCTCCCAAATAAAGTAATAATGAGATGCTGGATTATCAGAAAAGAGTCCAGATGTCAAGTTAGTATTTATATCACATCAGGGTGGAGAGCAGATGGATGAGCACATTTTTCCACAGATTCATCAAAATTATCTAAATTCTTAGTTGCCCTTTAAGTCTAAGAACTGCCCTTCAGGATCTATATATGTTTTAATATTTAATCCAAATTGATTGCATTGCTAAAAGAGCAAGAAAATTAGCTAGTTTTGTTCTAGTTGTGTTTGCCTAAAATGTATTAAGATATCAAGTGATTTCAAGTCTTTGGGTTCGCTGTGTTGTCCTCCAGGGATCTTTAGCTTTCTTTATTTACTTTCAAGGTGAAGTAGAACCCAATATAGCTCTGAATGTATCATTCCCAATCAAAAATAGATGCAACCCTCTAAAATAAAATGTTTCCACTTTGCCACAATATTATGTTTTATCCTCATTCTTCCTGGTTACCATATTTATTTTTATGACTTTCAGTTAACTGCACAGCTTTCTTTGCTGACTTTGCTTATATTCCGTATTGTTCAATAGAGTCCCTCCTTGGGCACTGCTTTGAGTCCCATATTAACTCAATTTTTTTTAATCCACACTGCAATGGATCTTTTATTCCCTTTGCTGTGAAATATAAGGCCATCTGTTGAAGCTGGGATGTTATTATTTTTATCATCACTGAGACTAGACTGGACTCCATTCATACTGTCCTCATGGATCTAGCCTGAACAAACAGTCCTCAGAACAAAAGAGTTTTGTTTTAGCTCTCCTATCTTATTGCACAGTGATTGATCATTTCTCACTCAAACTCTTACAGTTGTGAGTCATTCATATGAGGGCCTTCCCTTGCCTGCCCCTCCACCCTGCCCATGTGTGGGCCAAGTCAAGCAGTTCTGCCTCCAAATTGTATCCCATGGGTGTTCACCTCTGCGTAGCCATATCCACAGCCTTCACTCAAATGCAAGTCACCAACATCTCTTACCTGAACTAGTGCGGTATCTTCTCCATTGGTCTTACTTCTAAACTAATGCATTCTTCATACAGCGGCCTGAATACCTTCTTATTTTCCCATTTATTGGAGCTTTTTGGGTCTGTGCTTGTCGGCATTTCCAGGTTGGCTTCTCCAGTGCCCAATCTGGGATGTCTGAGGCAGAAAGAAAACACAAAGAACTCTCTGCTGTATTGTTTCTCAGGCTCCAAGATCCCTAGCCAGTCTGTCTTCTTCTCTCCAGCATTCTTATGTTTGTTTTGTATGTAATGGCTAGGGTTTTAAGCTAAATTTAGCAGGAGAAATAGGGAAAAGTGTATCTACTACATTTGGTCTAGACCTAGAAAGTCCAGAATGCCATTTAGAAACATAGATCACATTGTGTCACTGTGCCAAGTTTAAGGCTTTCATTGACTTTCATTGATCTTAGTATGCAGTGCAAAAATATGTCTGTCTACAGGACCCAAAATAATGTGATCTTGGCCTATCTCTTCAACAGTTACCTTGTGGCAGTTGGCTCTCATTCCATTCAGTTGGCCTTTTGCGTCCTTGAACGTGCAAAAGTTCTTTTCTCACTCAGAATCTTACCCCAGTTGTTCTCTTTGTCTCAGCCATTTGTCATCTATGCTAATCTGCTTGGCTCCACCTCAGCCTTCAGTTTAAATACCTCTTTCTTTATAATGTCCTTTCCTAGCCATCCTACCTAATAATATTCTCTTATCTTCCTTATGTTTAAATTTTCTTCAGGAATTAATATAAATCAGATTTTTCAGTTAGTACTTTTTATAGTCAATGCGAACAGGTTTCCAACATGGCCACTGACCTTTTGAAGATGCATTTAACAGGGCGCCTGGGTGGCTCAGTCGTTAAGCTTCTGCCTTCGGCTCAGGTCATGATCCCAGGGTCCTGGGATCGAGTCCCACATCGGGCTCCCTGCTCGGCGAGAAGCCTGCTTCTCCCTCTCCCATTCCCCCTGCTTGTGTTACTGCTCTCGCTATCTCTCTCTCTGTCAAATAAAATAAATAAAATCTTTAAAAAAAAAAAGATGCATTTAACAAACAGCTCATTTGGCAGATGTTAGTGTATTAGCATTAACCATTTTATAAGCAAACAGAAAAGAAGTCCCTAAGTTATAGATCAGTAAGGCATCATAGGCATGGTTGCTAATTTTACTTTGCTTATTTTTGATTCATTGATTAACATAACTAATATTTACTAGGTGCCTATTATGTATCAGGCACTATTCTAGTTCCAGCTCTTGTGGGGTATACATTCTAATAGAGGGAGAAAAAAAATAAGTAAATATAAGAGAAATATATAATATGCTATGTGATGAGCATAAGAAGTAAAACAGAGTAAGGGAAGAGAAAGAAGCGGGAACATGCAAGGAATGGGAGAAATATTTTACATCGAGCCTGGAGAGATCTTTTTGTAGTAAGGTGCCATTTAAGCAGGGACCTGAATGAAATTGGGAACCACGCCATACAGGGAAGAGTAAGGACAAATGTTTTGAAACTGAAATTTATGTGCCATTATTGAGGGGCAACAAGAGACAGGTATAATAGGAGCTTAGCAAGGGAGGAGGCAGCACTAGGAAATGAGGTCAGGAGAGAAGCCAGTGTAAAACCGTTGATGGAGGTCATTGACAGACTTTGACCACGACAGACTGCATGTGCTTCTCACCCATGGCCACCATTAGTCCTGGCTAATTGGAACATGGAACATGGGAATAGTGTCACCAATAGAAACAAGTGGATGGTGAGATTTAATTCAAGCATTATTTGATAGCTTTAAGTTCTAGTAAGAGTAATAGATAACATGACACATGTAAAGCCTGAGTTACCCAGTTGATTCCACAAAGGCAGAGAATGAAGATAAAGTAAAGATAATTAGGGCAAATTATAAAAAAGTAATTAGAAATAGTTCGAAAAGGAAGTGAGCTGATTGTTTTAAAGTTATTTAAAAGTCCAAACTCACAGTTGTTTAATTGCTTTCCTATATTGCAGTGTAACTAGTGTAAGCAACTGAATCAAGTTCTGTGGATAAGTGGGAGAAAAAAAAACAATAGCAAATTGAAGTATTCCAGAAATGCCAAATGGAAATTAAATGTGTACATTTTTTTTTTTAATTAAAACTTAAAAACTGCAGTTAGTGCATATATACTTGTGTTTTGGAGATAGGGGATAAGAAACAAATGTCATGTCTAATACCACGAAGAGAGTAAGCTGGTGTCCCGTATAGGAGATGCAGAAGGAAAGAAGGGGCCAGTTCCCCCTCTTTGGTGGCTGGATCAATTTCATTCATCCATACAGTCTCATATAATGAAGACCTTTAAATCTGATGTTGACTATGTCTAATTGAAACAGAAGATAAAGGTTTCATCCTCACTTTTCCTTCCTGCACTTCCTCCTGAAATCAAAAGCAAGACGAGCTGCTTTCCAGAGGTCTTTATTCTATCCATGGTTATTCTCAGAGCTGAACTGCTTCCTTTTCCTCCTTTGCCATCCATTTCTTCCCTAATAACCTGGGATTAATGCTGCGTCTTCTTTATCATTACAAGCTCTGAGCCCCAAAATATGTGTAGAAAAACACAAATTATACAGTACTTGAAAATATTACTTCCCATTTTATAATTATCTTAATCATGTACTAGACCATGCTCACCTTAATAAACCACAAGAGATTCCTTCATTTCACCCTGCTCTTTTTCCTTCTTAACCCTTTACAGAGATGGTTCCCTTTATTTGAATGCCTTCTTTCCCTGCCCAAATCCCTCTTTGCCTGACTGACTCGATTTATCTTTCTGGACTGAGGTTTTAAGTGACTTCTTCCTGTAAACCTTCCTTACTCACCCCTTCTTGCTTAGCACATTTGTGCTCCGTATAACTATAGTATGGAATTTAGCACACTGTAATGATTTTGTGTCTTCTTTAGGAGACCACAAATTCCTCGAGAGCAGGGATTACATCTTAATTTTTCTTACATCCACAGTACATCACACAATGCCAGGAACATGGCGAGGCACTCTAAATATTTGTTGAATGACTGAATGAACACAACCCCAAAACAAACATTATGCTATTTAACTAAACATAATAATGAGGAAGTTATAGTAAATTCTAAGGTCATGAGGATATTTACTATTTAGAATTCCTTTTAAATGCACGGTAAGTGCATAAATGCATGATAGTGTTACCATAAGTACTTGAAATAAGCCCACATTTGTATTTTACTTAATTATTTTCATGGTCATTTAGATGAGTCTTGATAACGCTGAGTATCCTGAATATATAATTCATCTTACTCTTTCATGGTAGCCCTTGAGAATCTACAGCAATTTAAAATTTGACTAAAATTGCTTGACAATATTTTTTTATTAGACATTGACAGTAAACAAAAACAATCAAAAATTTATTTGGTTTAATATGTTAAGTTCTGCATTTTCATTTTTGATATATTTGAATTGAATGCTGATTATAAGCTGCATAATAAATTTGATAGTTATAAGATATATCTTTTGATATTGAAGAGTGTGGTCATACCGGAAAAAGAGAAAAAGTTATATTTGTCTTCCTCTCTTCAATATGTAGCAACACTTTTGTCAGCACGTACTATAGCAAATATGACAATGACAATAACAGATTTTAGCAGCACTTTCAAAGATGAAATAGGTGTCCCTAAAAATACTGTTTTCCTAACATCCTTAAAAAGAAATTGAGATGAAATTTGAAATACTATCATTGGGATCTTTAGGAATATTATACAAGTACTCGGTGCTGAAACCACTGCCCTCTAGGGATATATTTGCATGTTTTCTAAAACACATACTGTGGTAAAAGATTATACTATTTAGTGTTTTGAAATATTGACAAAGGAACTTGCTTTTTCTTCTAAATATGGTATTTGCTGCCTTCCCAGTATTATAGCTGAGTCTACCAGAGTAATGGCTTTCTTACAATGCTACTGAAATCTGTAAGGGCTTTGATTTCATCACAAATTAATGATTTAACCATATAGAAAAGAATCCAATTTTAGTGTACCTCATAACTGATAGAAAAATATTAAAACTTTGCCACACAATGTTATTATATTAGAGGAAAAACTTGTAAGTGGATGCTTATAGAATATCATGACTTATAATCCTTCTTATATTGGCAAATTTGGGGCATATTGTAATTTTTATTTAGCAGTAAATTTCATTTTTGCAACTACTTTTATCTATTTGTGCAGGAGAAAATTTAGAATGCTATATCAGGACAACTATTCAATTATAGCCAACTTAAATGAAAAGTTAATTGTGTGTATTTTTTCTTTCTATTCTCCAAATTATCATTATTTGTATTTTAAGGTGTTAATATCACTTCCTTTTTTTTCCATATACTAGGGCTCTGGTAAAGTTATATGGCTATATTTATGGTGTTTTCTGTAAAACCAGTTTGAAACTATTAACTATTATGCCAGAGGTGTAGGACACTGATTTATTCAACAACTGTTTCTTAAAATAAAAAACTATCACAACAGTAGTTTTGCTAAAACTTTTTTAAAAGTATACACACAAGCATGCACACACATACACACACACCCCAAACACCTCTAATTGAATAAAAGAAAGTAAACCATGTCCATAATTTAATATGTATTACTTTCCACTGAGGTTGCCTTAAATCTACTAAAATGTGGAGATGCTAAGCTACATTCAGGAAATATGAAGAAAAAAAAAAGTCTTCCCTGTTCTTCAAATATGGGTTATAGTTATTCAGGAATCCCAAACTAGCCCAAGGTTGGTATAATCATTCCACCTCATGCTATTCTTAAACTTCATCATCAGTCAGAAGTTAATAATAGATATATTATGCCAGCATCTTCCTCCTTGTCTTTCTTCACCATTGCATTCTATTTCTCCTCACCTTATTAATAACAGTATTAGAAGGAGGGAACTGGATAATGAGGGAAAAGACTCCTTCTTGAGAGTAATAGGGACTCTGACCTGAAGACCAGTTAGGGCAATGAAATCTCAAAGTGTAGTCCCCATGTGTTGGCATCAGGATCACCAGGGGCTTGTTAAAAATACAAATGTCTAACTCAGAGGGTGGGGCCCAGCAAATCTGTATTTTAACAAGCCTCCAGGGTATTGTGAAGCACACCAACTTTCAAGACCACTGATTTAGAGAAGAGTTACCATGACAGTCACCCTTTTGAGAGTGCATGGAAAATTCTGTAGTATATTTGAAGATCTTCCCCAAATTTATTGGTTAAATGCAGGAAAAATTGATGTAGTGAGGTACATATTCCAAATTAAGAAACTATATCGTCAAGGGGTGCCTGGGTGGCTCAGTCATTTGGGAGGCTGCCTTCAGCTCAGGTCATGATCCCAGGGTCCTAGGATCTGGTCCTGCATCGGGCTCCCTGCTTGGCGGGGAGCCTGCTTCTCCCTCTCCCTCTGCCTGCCTCTCTGCCTACTTGTGCTCTCTATCTCTCTGTCAAATAAATAAATAAAAAATCTTAAAAAAAAAAAAAAAAGAAACTATACTGTCAAACAGTTGTGACTATGGGGCATTTACCTCATGAGTTACAACCTGAAGTATGAGACCTCCGAAGACTGAGGGGTTGCACTGGATTGAATAGTACCCCAAATTCCTGTGCATCTGGAAGTCAGAATATGATCTTCTTTGGAAATAGGGTCTTTGCAAATGTAATTAAGATGAGGTCGTAGTGAATTAGGGTGGGCCCTTGTCCAGTTCCTGGTATCGCAATACTGAGGGCATGTCAAGAGACACTACAGAAGAGGTTGTGTGAAGATGAGGGCAGACTGGAGTTTTGCTTCCTCAAACCAGGGAATACCAAGGATTGGTGGCAGACACCTTTGCTGGGAAAGAGACATGGATCAAGCCTCCAGTAGGAGCCAACCCTGCTGACCTTGACTGAGAACTTTAGGCCTCCTATGCTAGAATAAATGTCTGTCATTTCAAGCCAACCAGCT